AATTCAAAATGATCCTGGTGAAATTTAAATAATTTTAATATTTTTAAACTTTAAATAGTTTTGTAGCGTACCTACTTCAAATATAGATTATTTAAATACCAATGAATAGTAATTAATAAAAGAAAGTTCAATTTTTAAACATTAAAAAAAAAATTTTATCAACTTAAAAGTGACCGGTTTTTGGAGAATCACCCATATGCGCTAATTAATCAGTGAAGTTTCGTGAGATTATTTAGTGAAATTTCACTAATTCACAGCGCATATACGCTAATTGAAATAGTGGCATACTTATCGCTGATTCAAATTTAGAGAGTAAGTAAAAAATTAACATGAAAAGATTAATAAAGGGATTTTTATTTATGGGAACACTGTAAAAAAAAGGTTCTAAATTAGAGCTAATTTCGGTATTGAAATAGAACCAAATAATTACGATTTAGTACCAAAATTGGTACTAAATTACACTAGAACCTCCAACGATTGTAGCGTGACCTTCTTGTGTACAATAGATGGAGGTTTTCACCTTGGCGCCATCTTTCCATAAAAGTGTCAACACTCAGGGCCTTACACTCTCACATATTTTGTATTGGCGTAAAATGTCATTTTTATCCTCGCCATTTTTTATTTTTTTAAAAATATTATGTTTAAATGCTAATATATATATATATATATATATATATATATATATATATATATATATATATATATATATATATATATATATATATATATATATATATATATATTATGTTTCAATGCCTAAGTGCGTTCTTTTACGTTTTTGACCTTTTTCAGTCTCATGTTGAAATATGAAAATACAACTTTAAAAAACGGGGCGCAAAAGAACACTAAACTTAGTACAATACTGCCTTCGCATTAATATGGCGGTGTCCTCCCCTCTCACCCCCCTAGCGGATGACCACCAAACTTTCGTAAACAACTCCAATAGATAGAGATGCAATCGTTGGAGGTTCTAGTGTAGTACCTTTCTTTTTACAGTGAAATGTACCTACGTAATATAAATATGTCAAATTAAAAAAAGGATTAAAATTGCTAATTTTAAGAAAAACTTATTATTTAATACTCTTTTCTGATAGAGAGCCCTTTTTTAAGAAATTGTCAAATTATTTTTTTAAAAATTGTTAAAGTAAAAAGTTTTTTAACCCTTGGGCGGGCAAGCTAAAAAAATCAGCGGGCAAGCGAGGTCCATTGGACCTCGCTTTAAAAACGCTGAAGGGGTTATACCTGTTTGGCATTTTTTATTTTTCAATTTTTCCTCTATTGGCTTAAAATATACTATAACATCCCTAGATTAATAATAATCTATAACGACCTTGCATGGAAACAAGTTTGGAAATATTTTTTTAAATTATTTTTTCTGGATCAATTGCGGAGTGTCAAACCCGTGCAGAAAATGCCCCACTTTACCTTATTTAAAACAGGGTTCTGGTCGGGGCCTCGACAGTTTTCCCTATTAAAATTTTTTTTTTAATAAAGTTTTTAGAATTCCTTTTTGTTGTAGAAGCTATTAACAATGAAAGGCAATCATTATTTTAGTTATTTAATAATTTTTTTATTTTAGGGGTTTGACTAGAATTCCTAGCCAGAACCCCAGGTAGGGTGTTCATTAGATTTTAGATAGGGTACTGATCAGGGCCTCGACAGTTTTCCTTGTTTAAATAAAGTGTAAAAAAATTAAATCTCTAAAATTACTTTTAATAAAAAATAATGAACAATTGAAGAATAAAATTAAAGGGAGTAATTATACTATCGTTTTAATAATTTTATTATTTTGTGGGTTTGACCAGAATTTCTGGCCAAAACCCCAAGTTAGCTGTTCACTAGATATTAAATAGGGCTCTGATCAGGGCTTCGGCAGTTTTTCTCGTTTGAATAAAGTGTAAATGAATTAAGTTTTTTAAATTAGTTCCTATAATAAAATTATAAACAATTGAAAAAATTACTTAAACGGAGTAATTATGCTACATTTTTTCCTCGTTTTAAAAGCATGTAAATAAATTTAATTTTTTAAAATTAACTTTTTCAGTACCCTATCTAAAATCTAATGAACACCCTACCTGGGGTTCTGGCTAGAAATTCTAGTCAAACCCCTAAAATAAAAAAATTATTAAATAACTAAAATAATGATTGCCTTTCATTGTTAATAGCTTCTACAACAAAAAGGAATTCTAAAAACTTTATTAAAAAAAAATTTTGATAGGGAAAACTGTCGAGGCCCCGATCAGAACTCTGTTTCAAATAGGGCAAAGTGGGTCATTTTCTGGATTTTCTGCACAGGTTTGACACTCCGCAATTGATCCAGAAAAAATAATTTAAAAAAATATTTCCAAACTTGTTTTCATGCAAGGTCGTTATAGATTATTATTAATCTAGGGATGTTATAGTATATTTTAAGCCAATAGAGGAAAAATTGAAAAATAAAAAATGCCAAACATGTATAACCCCTTCAGCGTTTTTAAAGCAAGGTCCAATGGACCTCGCTTGCTCTCTAAATTTGAATCAGCGAAAAGTCGCTGATTCACCAGTCCAGAGTATGCAGCTGATGAAACAGCGTATATACGCTGGAAAATCAGTGCATATACGCTGTTTTATCAGTGTATATACGCTATTTCATCAGCTGCATACTCTGGGCTGGTGAATCAGCGACTTTTCGCTGATTCAAATTTAGAGAGTGCCCGCTGATTTTTTTAGCTTGCCCGCCCAAGGGTTAAAAAACTTTTTACTTTAACAATTTTTAAAAAAATAATTTGACACTTTCTTAAAAAAGGGCTCTCTATCAGAAAAGAGTATTAAATAATAAGTTTTTCTTAAAATTAGCAATTTTAATCCTTTTTTTAATTTGACATATTTATATTACGTAGGTACATTTATCCCATAAATAAAAATCCCTTTATTAATCTTTTCATGTTAATTTTTTACTTACAAAATAATAGTTTTATAATTTTTACACATTAAAAATTATTATTTCTTTTCTTATCATACTATTAAACCTTTGCGTAGGCAACCCGCTCAACATTTCGAATTGGACACTTTCTTCCACAAGTCACATTCAGCTCTTAATTTTTATGGTGGAAATAAGATTGTGGCTCATGGAAATATCGTATCGAAACAAAATAAATTTTAATTAATTCTTTATTTATGTATTTTTACTTTAATTCGTCAAATTATTTTTTAAAAAATTCTCAAATGTAAAAAGTTTTGTAAAAATCAGTCAAAAGTGTTGGATAATTTAAAAAGAAAGAAAAAAAGCAGAAATTTTTAGAAAAAAGGGCTCTTTATTGGAATTCTATATGAAATGAGGATTTAAGTAAAAATTTGTTTGCAATAATACGATGTTTTTACGAGCGTCAATATTATTTTCGCCATACAAATTTACAGCTTTAACGTCGAAAATAAACTTATTACACTTGTTGCCTATTATAGAAAGGGGTTTTACAATAGTAGAATAGGTAATTATTATTTTAGAATAAAAAATTAATTAGCGACATTTTTTTTGTTTAATATCTTATATAATTGAAAAATAAGAAAAAATAATTAAATTTATTATTTTCAAAAAAGTAAATAAAGTAAATAAATTTTTATAGATTAAAAAACATGATTAAAGATAATTAAACCAATATATAAGGTAAAAATTGATTAATTTTTTTTAAGTTATTGTAATTAATAGATTATTTTTAATTTTATCTAATATTCCAATTACTTATTAACTAATTTTCCCAAACAATAAAAAACATTTAATAAATTTTAGATATAATTTAATTTTTAAAAATTCTATATATTTGTCATTTGTAATATCTTTATTAATTACAATTTAATAAATTGTACCTCTATAAGTACTAATTAGCAATTTATATTTTTATTCTTTGTAAACAATTATGTTAATAAAATATCAAAATTTAAAAAAAAATTCATATTTTTATTTTTAATTTTACATATTTTATATTATGTGCATAATAATAAACAAAAATCTTATTATTTATGTCTTTTGGTTTAATTTTTGTTATTGCAAAATAATAGTTTTACAATTTTTAACAAATTATAAGTTACTGCCCTGTTTTATTATACTGTTATGCCTTTACGTAGGCAACCCGCTTTACTCCACCTTTCTGTTGTGCGGCCATTTTTTCCCTATGCCAAGTCACCTGCAGCTGTAAATTCTCGTGGCGGAAATAAGAATGTGGCTCGTAGAAACATCATATCGAGACAAAATAAATTCTAATAAATTCTTCATTTAATTTCGCTTCCAAGTAAAGGCCCACTTTTTTGATTAAGTGCTTCGTTTTTTTACAAAAAATTCTCAAAGTGAAAATATACAGGAAAGTGTAAGAAAGTGGGTTGGCAACACTGGAGAGTTCTCGATCTCCAACACCGTTAAATCAATAACTAAGTAGAGGGGGAATCCACTACCTTAAGGCAGCGGTTACATCTCTGCAGGCTGCCTGCCTGCGCAGGCAGGAGCAACAAGAGTAAGGGAGAAGTTTGAAGTCACTGACTCTCTTACTCTTGTACGTTACCATGACAACCTGCAGGCAGGCAGGCTGCCTGCAGAGGTGTAACCGCAGCCTAACAATTTCTTTTGTCCGTTGGACACGTGAGTTAAAGTTTTAAAAAATTAATCTTTTAAAATTTAAATATTAAATTTCTAAATCCTACTTTAACAGTTCGTATTTATTTCAAATAAATTTTTAATGAGTACTTTCGACTTACAGAATGGTTACAATGAAGCTAATTTAGGCATTACAAAAAGTGGTCACATATCCGAACAGTACTGTTCGACTATTGTAATCATTACGAGAAAATTTTTCTCCGTGTACAATTCAGTTTAACATACTTAAATGCCGAATTACGTATCACTATAACTATCAGTTCTAAAGTGAACGTTATAGTTGTTAGTTCTATATTAACGATCCGAATAGTAAATACAGCAATCCCTTTTCTCTTTGTATTTATTAAAAAAATGAACAATATTTATGAAATTACAGCAAGCCTCTTAAGTAAAAAATTACAAGACCCAGTGGACTCTGTAATTTTATCACTGGGAGTACAAACAGTTTTACAGCAATTTGATGAATTGCAATTGATGAATTACATTAGCTGCATCTGTGATTATATAGTCTCATTTACAACTCCAGACAGGTACAATTTGTTTATATTTTTGTATTTAATGTTAAAAATGTTGTTATTAATTACATTCTATTTTAGTGCCAAATTAACTAGCGAATGGGAAATGGAAGGTGCAGTTGGATTACATTTTTTGGAGTTATTTTCCAATTATGCACAAATTTCGAAATCCATCATTTTAAATACAATTCCGTTGATAGTATTAGAACAACATCATTCAAGAATAAGTAAATAATAATTTCATGTAATTACCAAATATTTCATTGTCGTTTTTGATCATGTCAATATTGAATATGATTTTATATTATATATGTATATAATTGTGTATGTTTATTAATAAAGTTTGCTTAATTCAACTGAGAATAAAAATTCATGATTGATTAAATCTATTGCTACCAACTCGCTCAATTCTATTATTCTCGTTTTTCTTTATTTCCCCTTCTTGTTATCTTACTATTTAAATCTGATATCAGATTCGAAATCAGCGTCCCTGAAAACCCCTGAGTAACAAATTTCAATCAGATTTGAGCAATTTTGAAAAAGTTTGTCATCTTACGTAAAATTAAAACATTCTTTTGTCCTTCAAGCGACATTTTAGATTCAAAATCGAAAACAATAAAAATTAAAAATAGATATTTTTCAAGTACAACTATCGGAAACACGTTACTGATACTTTTTCTTCTATTTGTAAAGCGTTATGACAGAGAAAAAAATTCTTTGGAAAAAAATTACATTAAAGGTATACCACTTTATCAACTTCAAAAAATAAAAAATTTTTTATTACGGATTTCGAAAGTATGTCAAAAATGTGGTGTAACATTTTTAGAAAGATCCCAGCACTCAAAATATATTTTGTTCCTATTTGAGCGCGTACACGGGCTATGTTAGTATATAAGACAAACTTTAAACGAGTTTTTCTCAAAACCACTTTTTTGCATGCTGCGTAATGTTTTTCTCGGAAACTACTGCACTGAAAAAAAATTCGACAGGCAATTTTTGCCTAAGAACAAAAGCAATTGTTTCTTTAGAAAAAATTACTTTGCGTGTATTGCTTTTGTTCTTAGGCAAAAGTTGCCTGAGAAAAAATAAAAAGCACATTCTGTCAAATTTTTATTTCAGTGTGGACCGATTCTAACAATTTTTTTACGAAAATCTTCGTCACATTTGTGGGTGTTGCCGGAACTAGAATTATTTGAAAATATTAATTGCTTCCTCATAGAGGAAGGATTGTATATTAAATTATTTAATATTTCAGAAAGACTAATTTGCTATTAATTAATTTAATAATTTCAAACTTGCACTGTAGTTGAAAACATTCTAGAATTATTCCTGACCTTAAAAGGAAAGATATAAATTAGATATAGTGTAGTAGAAATAGGGTATACTAATGGTAAGATCAAGACAGAGTTTAGAAAAATTAATAATGGTTCTGGATTTTTCGAGAAAATCACATTATTTTGAAAAAGATTTCTAGTGTTTTCAAACAGTAACAATCACTGCTGATTGCTGAAAAATTCCCGAACTCTAAACGAAAATTGGAGTGCGCAACGGTCACTTTGCGCATAATATATAGTTTAACTTACAGTTAAAATATACTGTAGTCAATATATTGTATTTTATCTTTCTTTTAATAAATTAATTTAAAATTAATTATACTATTATTTATTATTTTATTAATCAATCATTTATATGTATATTATTTTAATTATAATCACCCGGGTGTATCGCTTATGAAAAAGTAGTAGTTCACACGTCTGCTTCGTGAAACCTGAGTTGTAGATGTCGCTACTTATTCAGTAAACCTTTGAACGCGTATAAATACATAGGAGAATTAAGAAAAATTATTAATTTAAATAAGTAATCAAATGTCTAAAATATTTGCAAATATATAAAAATTAACCAAAAACATATATATATTGACCTTCGTATAGTATATAATTTTTCAAAATTTGAAATCTTATTAAATTTTAAGAAATGGACAAAGAAATTGTCAAATTTTGTAACGTGTTTCCAAACTTTCAAATGATTGAAATAATTCTTGAATTTCTATAGTTTATTAAATATGAATAATTTGAAAATTGAGTTTTTTAAAAATAACATATACTTAAAACGAATTTAATCCTAAAGTTCAAAATTTATTCTTAGACTTTCCTCTAAATAAGAAACTTCTTTTAATTAATATTTTTAAAATTATATAAACTCTTTTACTCCAAAATGAGGAAGGAAAATAATAAATAGAAAATTGTTGAGATATATATTATTTATTTTTAAAAAATTTGTTTCTTTTCTCTTGTAGAAAATCTATATTAATCTGTAGTACAGCGACCTACTTTTTTTTTAATTATATTTCGTCTTTTAGAAATTTGTTTTATATCCTGAGCATATTGCCTCATTCTAATACTTAAATACTTTTTTGTTACATATGCTAATATATCATAAGCATGCTCTATACAAGGGAAGTAGATACTTCTATCCGAGATATCATTTAAAATTAAATTAAAAACATCATTACTTTTTTTATACTTATTGTACTTAGTCTCCAAAATGTTAATAAAATTAAAAATTATGATACTCGGATGAATTATGTTATTAAAATTCTCACAAACATTGTTATTCTCAATTCCGTATGAGAATAGGGCATTAAAGCAAATTTCACATTTCGTATATGACTTTAATTCTTTGCAGACAGATTCCGTTGTAAAAAAATTTAAGCAGTCTAATAAAATCCGTGAAGAAAACTCATTTTCATTAGCAATTACAAAATCAGAGAAGTCCGCATCATCTTTTTCCGATGTAATTAATAATTTTTTTTTAATATTGTCGATAACTGTAGAATCTTTTTTTTTTAATGAATATATTTCTTTTAACTGTGAAATTGTTATTAAAGGTTTGGAGATCTTATTTTTAAAAACTGAACAATTCCCTAATTTAGGAGGCTGCAAAGTACTAAAAATAGTCAAAATTTTATATATTTGGAGAAACGTCGGTGTTGCAGGATGATCGTTACTTCCTGCAGCCAATCTCATCGTACCAAAAAAACGCTAAATAAAAAGAACATTTGAATCATAAACAATGGTAAAATAATGAAAAAAAGCAGATGCCATGAAAGGTAACAAAAGCTGAAAGATAATTACTTATTTAACAGTTTATATATTTCTACGCAACACTAATATATAAAACACAGAACAATGACATATAACAACACAGCAGGTACAAATATTTTTTACTACCCTATAGTACACCACACTACATTATAATAATACATATATGACAAAGGACGACAATAATTATACTTACTACATTTTTCATATTTCTACACAGAAAATAAAATAGCATTAATTCAAAAACTATCTCAATTGAAGACAAATTTTTTATACATACCTCTAAAGCATCCTGATTCATTTTTCCAGTTAAAACTGATTTAAAATTACAATTTGTAATTAAATAAATACTCAAATCTTTTGCAGAGTGTAGTGTCATTCTCAGACCTTCTGCGGTCTGATCTGTCAGGAATTCTTCCTTAAGTATTAGTCCACTACGGTATCTATTCTCCCACTAATTTAACCAATTAATTGAATCTTCTAATACCTAGAAAAAAATAATTATAATATTATTATGATAACAATAACCATTTTTTATACAAACTTTAAAATCGTTGCTTTCGCGTGTGATTCCTTCGTTTAATCTATTTAAAGAATCAAACATGCAATTAATTTGATCGCAGAACTCAGCCGTAGGTTCACTTTTTTTCTAAATTTTTATCAACATTTTTATAATGCCGTAATGCTCGAGCCATTGATTTGCTAAAGATCTGAAAAAATCTCCATTATTCAAAAATCCAAAATAAAAAAAAAATTGTCACTACATACTCACTTGAAATGCTAAATTCACCCTCATTTTCAATAAATTGTGAGGTTGTATGTGGTCTTCAGTCTTCATTTAAACTGAAATATTCACTCTTAATTTTTGGGTCAAACCATTTTATTTCGCCTAATGTATTTTTGATCTTTATAAAAAATTTCAATATTTCGGGAAAATATTCTTATATGTTTTGGGATTACGAAATGCACAATGATTTGTAAAAAATAATTTCATTTCATATAAAAAAAGATATTATAAATTGAGAGTACATGAAAAAAGGTTACATTGACAGGCATTACAAAATATTTAAAAAAGGAGTAATCTCTTTAAGAAATATAAAAAAAGCGATTGATATTTATTTTTAAAGAGTTAATTTGTGATTTGAACTTGATAAAAGTATCAAATAATTTATAATAAACTGTAAAATATGTTATTTAAGTTTCTGTATGAAATGTCAAAAATCGATCATATTTAATAATTTTTTTTGACAAAGTAATTTAATTTTCGTAAATCAGAATTATTTAAATAATAAGTATTTTAAATACACTTTATTATTATTTAAATACTTTTTTGATTATCAACTGAGAAATATAAAAAAATTTACCTTAAAAATGAACCATTCTTCATTTTATCGGGATTTTGAATGTTTGTAACTTCGTTGGAGAAAACCCGATTTATGCCAAATTTTTTGAGCATGTTGATTGAAGCAATATCTTCCTGCTACTAAAATTTCGCGATGGGTTTTGCACTAGTTTTCAAAAGAAATTGATTTAAAAAAATTGTTTATTTTGAAGGTTACAGACAAGTATTATAACTAACTTGAAGTTGGTTTGCTACTTGCAATAAAAGTCAAATTTAAAATAAAACGATTTTTTTAAAGTCAGTTTAAAACAAACCAACTTCAAGTCAGCTATAATACTTGTCATTAACCTTCAAAATAAACAATTTTTTTAAATCAATTTCTTTTGAAAACTAGTGCAAAACCCATCGCGAAATTTTAGTAGCAGGAAGATATTGCTTCAATCTACGTGCTCCAAAAATTTGGCATAAATCGGTTTTTCTCCAACGAAGTTACAAACATTCAAAATCCCGATAAAATGAAGAATGGTTCATTTTTAAGGTAAATTTTTTTATATTTGTCAGTTGATAATCAAAAAAGTATTTAAATAATAATAAAGTGTATTTAAAATACTTATTATTTAAGTATTAGTTTGACCCTAATATAATATTTAAATCCTATAATTTTTAATATTTACGATTAATTATTAACAAAACTTTGTGCTACTCATTGCGCTACTCGAAAATGGTTGCATCTACATTCTGACAGCATGATTTTTAAAATAATGAATAAAATATTTCTTGTTTAATTATTTTGTAAAATAACACTATTTGCATAAAATACATACTTCATACATTCGTTCAGTATATTACTTTAAAGTAATTATCACAATGCATTATTATTTATTTGACAAAAAACATGAAAGTGTCCGACCTCCGGTACTGTCCGACTATACCTGCACTACCCTACCATTTGTTCGAGGTATACTAATTTTTCACTTTGACCAAAACGATTTGATGAATGTGTACATTCACCGGCTAAAGTGCGTAGAAACACAAAATTCGTATGCTATTCTCACATTCACCATCCAACTAACGCCCAATTCGGGTAATGTGCACATTCACCAACTTCGCACATTAACCGTAACATATGCATATATATATTATGTTTACTATAGTATAGGTTATATTTAAATAATAGTATAGTTTGTGTTTATATGTGTATCTTGTTTGAATGTATGTTGGTTTGTGTATGTGAATGAAATGCTGTGTTTCTCTTCAAATCTCTGAATACTTTTTTCTTGAATGCACCCCGAAATTTTCCCGAACTCAACAAGTGTTGTTGTCGTACGGTTCGTATATTTTCACCGAACATGACAAGAGATTGTTAGATTTACCTTATAGTTTCTACTGGTTACAGTTTTAGAAAAATTCAATCTATTACTTTAGAATCTCTCTTGAATTATTATAACGAATTTTCACAGAAATTTAATTATTCTTTCTTGAAATGTGTACATGATATTTTAAACTAGTTGATCCGTAAATCTTAGCGACTTTTTCTCATATCCACCGTTCTTGAACTAATTCAGAAATGTTTCCTGAATAAATTTTTTCCGTGTAGTCAGAGTAGGGTCAGAGGGACAGTTCACTGTCTCGAAATTTGGGGGCTATCGCGAAAGTACGACCAGCGGACAGTGCGGACCAAAAAATAAATTTGTCAATAATGTAACTTTAACTTTCATTAATATGTTTCCACTTATTAATTTCTATTACTGACTAAAATTGAGTGGGGTTTTCTTCTTCTATTTCGTGGTTAAATGAATAGAGAAAGGTATGCAATATATCATAAGTCATTATTACAGTACAAACACGTTTATTAATTATATTTTCGAGTATTTCCTAGCCAATAAAATTGACCGTATTTATGTAATACAGTATTGCTTCAAATCTACTATAAAAACAAACTAATTTCGAAAACCTTTTAAATATATCACCAAATTTACAAGAGATCTTTTCTATATCAACTGTAAGTTTAACATTTTTAATTTCACAAATTAAATCAAGAGTACGCATTAAAACAATGTAGAATGGTTACTTGAAAAGAGTTATAAAAATGTTAAATTTAATTATTAAACTATAGTTACATTTACAATTATTAATATCTACGGTCTAATGATTAATTTAAACATTTTTCATACATTATAATTACTTGTTTGTACATTAGTAAAGATCTGAATTGCAAGCGCTTTACGAACTAATGTAAATGTTCATGTTTGTCACAAGTTATACTGTTCCGGTATGTTTTTAAAGTAATAAAAGTATTACCTAGACAAATTTACGTAAATTGTATTTAAAGTATCAAATTCTTAAATGGAATGAATTAAAACATTGACTTTGCACTCATTACAAATTTCCAACCAAGTTTTTCGTCCTCAATCTGAATCACTCATTTCATCATCAGATTTGAGAGCATACGAAACTGGTTTCCTAGCACGTCTAGCTGTTGTGCGTGGTGGAGGAGAACTGTCTGACATATTTTCATTTTCCGATTCAGACTTCTTTTTACGTTTCTTGACCTATAACAAATCATTTTATTCATTATTACTTTTAAGCTTTTAAAGTTAAAAAAATTGCTTTTTATTAAATTTCACTATTAAAATAGTGAAAAAGTTTTATGAAGTAATTACGCCTAAATAAAATTGACGACGAAATAAAGTAAAGAGATAGGAAAGACGGAGAAAATGTGAAAGCGTATGTTAACGTAGACGTTTAACCCTTTGAGGGCCAGTGATGCTTTCAGGCAATATGAAAATTTTTCCGTTAACTCGTGCATAACTTTCTTGATTTTAAAAACTGAATATTGAAATAATACTTTTCATTTAATCTAGTAAATTTCCAAATGCTGGTCTCCAATTAAAAAACATTAATAATTTTCTATGAAAAGCTTGTTTTAAAATAAAAAATCGGGAATTTTTAAGAAAAAATTTCATCCTCAAAGGATTATAAATGTCTGATAACATTTATAACTCGACAGCCGATTAAAAAATTTCAATAACTCTTGTTGCACTTAAGTCTTTGGAAGTTAACTATTATTTACTCTGATATAAGAAAATCTCAATTATACTTACAGGACTTGTTTTTAATTCAAAAATATCATCTGATTCGGAGCCAGAAGATTTGACCTTCTTTTTCTGTCGTTGTCTCTTCGGTCCCTTCCCACTGCCGTTTTCAGATTTCTTTTTAGGTGCTGTAACATTCGAAAAATGAGATCAAGAAAATTAATACAAAAAACACTTTTGAAAAAGTAAATTGGAAGTCGATGAAATTTTCCTCAATAAATGTTCTGTCAAATTAAGATAAAAATTCGTTGAAACATAGATTAATTAAAATTTTGATTAGTAAAAAAATTTGAATTAATAAAACTGAAACTGTTTTGAGATTTCAGTGTAACATATAACACAAAATATAAAGTGAATAGTGACTAACAATATCGTGTTTTATTTAATGAACGTTACTCTTAAACAACAGTTTCTTTCAGTACATTTAGTTTAAGGGGGGAAACCACATTAGAACGCTGTTTTTTAGCCGTTTTTCGCGAATTTTTTTTTAAGGTAAGAATTTTTTTGAATGAAATAAAACATTTCCACCATGTTTCACATATATTCAACTGTAACTCATATTTTTTTTAAGCGTTTATATCAAAAATCTTTCAAATTGGGAGCTATTACATATAGAGCTGCTCCGCCGGAGTTAATAACTGCCGTGCAGTCCTGAGCCCACAAATTTTGTCCGAAAGCAAAAAATCAAGTTTACACGGAGAGAAATTTATAGTAGTGGGTAACATAATTGTGGTTAGGGTGACCATCTTTAATGCTACGTATACAGACAGCTATCTAGATAGTCACCGTTACCATCAATATCATCAGGAGTAACATCTTGGTAGTACGGGGTAGCATAACTATATTTTTTTTAGCATCTGTGATGGTTGGCAGTAGCATAATGATAGTATCGTGTAACATCATCTTTTTAACATCAAAATCTGACTATCCATTTCTCTCAGTGTATTCACATTTTATAAATATTTTATTATTAAGTGAACCAACTTTTAAGTGAAAATATTGAAAATTGAAAAAATGACACTACTTTGAAAAAAATAATCGATTTTTTGCCTACTTTTTTGCAACTTTTTTATTTAAAAAAAGGTACTAAAAATTTTTTTTTCTTTTAAAGTTTGGTTCACTTAATAATAAATTTAATAACGAACAATTTCCAATTTTTCATTTTAAAAACGGTCAATAACTTTTTGAGCTACACTACACGGCAATTTCAAAAATCCTGTTTTGAGAAAAACGCATTTGAAAAAAAGTATCAAAAAATTGTTATTTATACAAAAAAATTTTTTTAAAGTGCTTACACTTTAATCGGCTATTCCAGCACTATACATATCCCTTTATCTGCTTCATAAGTAGCATGTAAGTCTAATAATTCCTCTTTTCGTCCCTTTCTGCTCTCCTTAGTCTCAAAAGTGCTACGCCTATTCTACTAATCTATGGTAACCTGGAGCGCGCTCCGTTCATCACCAGTACAGCGAGGACGTCGAATTTTGCTCTTAAAACTTTGCAGCCTATTTTTGAACACCTTAACTAACAATTTATGCAAAAAAGAAAAAATCGATTTTTTCAGACGTCTAATGTGGTTTCCCCCCTTAAGTTTTTCAATGATCACGAGTACCATACGCTTCACCATTGCAGAGATAGATTGATTACACAGCCACACAAAAAAAAAACTTCTGATCTGGGGGTCTCACTATGTAGACTTTATGTTTTTTGGGTCGCTGAATCCGAATCCGAGGTCCATTTATACTCATCAGATCAGGATTTTGACATAACCTCAAAAAACCAATATGGCGGACACATTTTTGAAAAGTTCATTGGATTCGCTTGAAATTCGTTACTCGGGGGTTTTTGGGGTCGCTGATTACGAATTTGAAGTCTGATTTCAAAAATTAAAAATGGCGGATCCACTATGGCGGACACGTTTTTGAAAAATTCATCGGATTCGCTTGAAATTCACTGTAAAAAAATCTGGTGTAAAATAACACGAAACTTGTAATTTCACACATCAAAATTATAGGTTGTACGTAGTAAATTTATTTCGTTCCAAAAGTAGTTTTACTATTTTTAATAATTTTACATTATACGACTATGTAATTTAATAGTTTTGTGTAAATTTACTACGTCCGACGTAGGAAAATTTGATCACTATGTCCGACGTGGTATTTTTACATTGCGTGTATTTCTACACTTTGACGTAATATTACGTCGCACGATCTGTACAATTACATGGCGAATGTAATTTTCTTATTCCTTTAAGATTTTCAAAAAATTTTCAAGTTTTTATAAATAACTCTAAAAAAGTGTATATAATGTACATTTATAGAAAGTATATGCTAATTTATAAGTAAATAATAATATAACAAAAAGTTTTGGGCTATATTTCATAAATACAAAAAGTTACGACTGAAAATATTATTTCAAAAAATATTTGCAGGTTATGTAGATTACAGTCGGCGTGTAAAAATACCACGTCGGACATAGTGACCAAACTTTCCAACGTCGGACATAGTAAATTTACAGCAGATTTTTTTACAGTGTTCGTTACTCTGGGGTTTTTGGGGTCGCTGATTACGAATTTGAAGTCAGATTTCAAAAATTCAAAATGGCGGATCCAATATGTCTGTGTCAGCCATATTGGATCTGCCATTTTGAATTTTGAAAAACCGACATCAGATTCGTAATCAGCGACCCCAAAAACCCCAGAGTAACGAATTTCAAGCGAATCCGATGAATTTTTCAAAAACGTGTCCGCCATAGTGGATCCGCCATTTTTAATTTTTGAAATCAGACTTCAAATTCGTAATCAGCGACCCCAAAAACCCCCGAGTAACGAATTTCAAGCGAATCCAATGAACTTTTCAAAAATGTGTCCGCCATATTGGTTTTTTGAGGTTATGTCAAAATCCTGATCTGATGAGTATAAATGGACCTCGGATTCGGATTCAGCGACCCAAAAAACATAAAGTCTACATAGTGAGACCCCCAGATCAGAACTTTTTTTTTTTTTGTGTGGCTGTGTTATCACCAAGTTTTTGTACTTTTGCTTGTTAAATAAATAAAGTAGAGTTGGCTCTCAGTTGAGTAACCAATTCACCAAAAATAATATTATTAGTTGTTTCTTACGGCGACAACAAGTAATAAAGTAATAAAGTAATAATGTTAATTTCTTTTACCTTTTTTAACTGAGGGCTTTGTAGGTGAATCTTCTCCAGAAGAAATTACGAAAGGCCTTGTTGGTTTCTCATTTGGAGATGAATTGCTGATTAAAGAATCGAAAAGCTCTTCGGAACTTGCTGTAATGAGAAAATTCAACATTACATAACGTTTCAAATGCTGTCTTCTTACATAAAATTCAAGTCAATCGGAATGTATATTTTCTTTTTATTAAGGCTTGGAATCTCATAATGACAAAGCAAGTTTTTAAATGTAAATTTTAGGGGATGAAAATAGAATTTTTTCATAAGAACTTGTTAGATCTTCATACAACTTCTTACTTGGGGGTTTTCGGGATCTTTGATTACAAATATGTCAGATTTTTAAAATTCAAAATGGCCTATCTAACATGGCGGCCGCATTCTAAAAAATTGACTGAATTCGAATGAAACAAGTTTCTCCAGGGTTTTCAAGGTCGCTGATTACGAATATGATGTCAGATTTTTTAAATTCAAAATGACGACGGAAAAATTTAAAATCAATCAAATTTGACAATATAGTAGCCAAAAAGAGTACATGTTAATCGGATTTTCTTAAAAATTGGCACTCGGGGGGTTTTCGAGGTCGCTGATTACGAATCTGAAGTCAGTTTTTATAAATACAAAATGGCGTATTTAATATAGAGGACGAAAAAATCAAAAATAAATTAAATTTGCTTGAAAATTGTCGTTTGGTTCTTTGCTGAAAAAACGACTTCAGATTAGGCATTAAATATTAAACCCCCGAGTGACTACTTTCAAGTAAATTTGTTTAATTTTTAATTTTATCGCCAGCCTTATTGGATTCGCTGTTTTGAATTTGCATATTTGATTTCAGATTCATAATTAGCGAACTCGAAAACAAAAAAACAGAATAAATCGGCCATTTTGAAATATGAAAATCTGAAATTTTTGAGTAATTTAATATTCTACATTAATGATTAAAATTTTTATAATGCTTTTTAAGTAACCTTTGTGTGAGTCATACGTCTACCCTCCCGATGCAAATATAACAGAGATCACTTATGAAGTCAGAGATAGAAGTTAAAAATTTAAAAAGAAAATCTTTAAACTAGTCAGAACATTTTATATATCAGTTCCGATAGATTTGTTAAGATATTCAATAATGCATTTTCATTAAATTATGCCAATTGCTTACGTTTTGCTCGAGGAGGAGGTGGCGAAAGACTTTCGAAATCTATATCATCAACATCATTATCTACTTCGCTTTCATCACTAGTAGAATATTTCTTTTTATTTTTCTTAATTGGTTTGAATGGAAGAGTTGTCTGTCTAGCACCTAAAAACGAAAATACGTTTAAACAACTTTACTTGAAAATTTTAACGAATAATAATGAAGAAGCTAATATACAACAGGACAATTACCTCCTTTCTTGCCCTTTTTGTCCATTTTCTCTGGTGAGCTACCCAGCCTATCTTCAAGACTTTTAGCATTATTTTCAACCAGAGCGTCAAATTCATCTTTGTCTTCTTTCTCTTTTTTCACCTAAAAATAAAACAAGAAATTAAGTTAATAATTCTCAAAAACAAACTACACGTTTAAGAATCAAATACTTACTCTAGGTTGTTTTTTTATTCCGTCTTTTTTATCTTTCGAGACAATATCAGCCTTTTCTATTTTCTTTTTTAGTTCGCCGTCAATAGTTGGAACAATTTTTCGCATTTCATCAGAATTGTACCACTTTTGTGGAGGTTTTTTGAAAGATTTCTGGTATTTCTTCGTTTCTTCCCTTTCTTTGTTCTCCAACTATAAAAAAAATTGTTTCATAAACATTATAAATATTTTTATAACAAATAAATAAACATAATTTATAATTGTTTAAAAACTATTTTATGTATGAATTTACTTATTTATAAAGTTATTGTGCTAATATTATTAAACATTTATGTATTATGTAATAAATCTGCATTTTTACTTTATCCAATTCTTGCAACAAATTATCCAAATCTTCTTTCCATAGAGATACTGGAGTACGTGCTTGTAACATTTTTAATTGTGTCAATTTATCTTCTTTCTGGCGGAGCAAGTCGTCTTTCTTTTCTTTTGTCAAATTCCACAATGTCATACCAAGCAGGTAATCAAAGTTTTCTTTCTGGATCGCTGTCGCTGATATTTCTTCCTCGCCATCCCCGGCTACTTCCTCCTGTGGAAAAATTAATCAAATCAAATAGTTTATTAGGGTTCCGCACACCGTAGGTGTATTGACGGAACCCTATTGGTGAGACTCTTGCGTCCGTAGCCAAATTTCGTGTCCCCCCCCCAGCGGCTAAACTATTTGACCTAGAGAGGTGATTTCCCCCCTTAACTTCTAAACTACACGGAAAGAAAAGGTCTGGAAGAGATATCCATAAAAATATTGTTGAGCAGAATATTGGTGTGTTATCCAATTCAATGGAAGAGACAACTTTCAGAATGGAAGCACATTCCATATTCAATGGATGAGGGAGCCATATTATATTGTTGAATCAAATATGGATGTGACATCCATAGGCATGGTTGGGCTTACAATTTATGCTATGGATTTTCACATATGGCTGCCTCATCCATATAAACTTTGGTTGGGAGATCCATAGTTAGTTCAAAATTTCGATACATGTTGCGCGCAATTCATTATCATGGCATCCATTTAAAAATGGTCGTCTCAATTTGTCCGTCGCGTCGGTTTCCTGTCACGTCTATATAATCGCGTTGTGAGTTTATTGTGTATAAATAGTGTTATAATTGTTCATTATTTATTATCGTTATTGTCTATTAGTGTTTATGTAAATTCATTTTCATGAAATATGTGTAGAGTATATAAGGAATATTATATGCTCAAATATTGTAGTTGTGTGTATAGTGTAGTGGATAGCGTTAGTGTTTGGTATGCGTTAGGTCTAGGGTTCGTGTCCTCCCTCCATCGGTTGATAATTTATTTCGTTAATATGCGGTTATTCAATAAGTGGTGTGTATTAATTAACAAAAATGTGTATAAAATATCTCAAGTGACATTGAATTTAATTAATTGAGTGATTCCAATTTTTTGTTTCCCATTTCCATTACTATGGATCACCCAACCATAGGTCTTTTGCTGCTCCAACAATATACAGCCAGCCATAGAATATGGATGAAGCAACCTTAACTATGGATATCCCGTATTTTTCAATATAATATGGCAGTGATATCCATGTATCTGGATATGTCAACTATTCCTTTTTCTCCGTGTATTTAACATGGAGAGCTAAAACTTGGCATACTGGTGTATTTTTACGCGAATTTTACAGGAAAAATATAGAGAACTTGCTATGTAATAATAACCAACGCGTTGCCGAGGAAAAACTAAAATATTTTAAAAAACCGATTTCCCCCTTAACTTCTACTTTTTTTTATGTGTGTATTTTTACAGGCTGATAACAAAAAATGTATTTAAAAAATTTTTTTAAAAACATTTTATTTTAATTTTTTTTTTAAATTTTTTAAAAATGGTTCCTCTACTTAGTGCTTACAATATTAAACATACCATGCTTCAATATTTATTTTTTTGTACTAAATGATTTTAATATTGGTGTACGGAACCCGTCCAATTTTTTGAAATTCATATCACTGAAAAAAAATCCCAGGAAACATTAATTCCCTCTTACTTATAAATTAAAATGGGTAATCCACATTCTGCTTTCCGAAAAATCAACACTTAAAATATATATATATATATATATTGTCCTATCTGCACGGAAAGTATGTCATTTCGGGCACTTAGAGCGGGCGCAAAGTAAGACATTTCCGCTTGGGACCGCTTGTGTGACGTCAGCGGGTGGAAAAGTATTTTGCGCTCGCTCTCGATTAAAAATGTTCATTTTTAGAAACTTACAGAAGCTAAGGTAAATAAAATTTAATGGACAGTAGATTTTTTTAAAAAATAGAATATTAGAAAATACTATTGAATAAAAACATCCATTTGAAATATTCTTTAATGAAAAACCAGATGTAAAGTTCTTAAAATTTTGCAGGAGTAAAGTTTATATATGAATGAAAAAACAATTAAGAAAATCAAAGTGAGGCAAAACAAGCAAAATATTAGTTTTAGAAATTCAAAATATGTACTAACACAATATTTTGAGGATTAGAAAAAGATTAAAGAAAATGTCAACATTACAATAACATATGGGTGATTCTCCTGAAAGGGGCCACTTCACGTGTCTCCAACATGAGATTCATTATTTTAATTAATTTTTCATTAATATTTTATCAAGTTTAAATTTTTTGAAAAATTTATTTATAATCTACGAAGATTTATCTATCTTTATATAATCTTCTATTGCTGATATTTAAAGTTCTTCCTATTTAAAAAACATATTTAATTTTGTCATCGAATTTTGGTTAAAAAGAAAGTATATATTATAATTATATTTTAACGTAATTAAATAATTTCAACATATTTATGATATATATCAAATTAAAGTTCAGAATTTAACGATTATTTTTTTACATGTTTAAAATAAGATAAAAGAAGTTATTGAAATTATTAATTAAAATAGTATTATCAATGAGAGTAAAAATTAAATTCATCTCTAAAGCCTCGTTTTCTATATAATAACATCATATTGTTTAACGTTTTAAACATAATATGTAATCTATGTGAAAATATTTGATGATTAAAACTAAAAATATTGTTAAAAAAATTGTAATATTTTTAAAATTAGAAAAAAAAAAAAAAAAAAAATTCATCTCCGAAGCCTTTTTTTTACATTTAGTAGGCGTTTTCTTTTGTTTTTAATTTTTTAATCATTGTTTTGAAATATTTAACCCTCAAATTAAATTATTAATTTAATAAAAATAAAATATACAAGCAAAAAGTGCAATAAATTAAAACATAACAATTTATTATTTAAAAAAAAATATTCCTACCGAGTTTTTTTTTACAAAATAATTAATTTAAAAGTTATAATTAATTATACTTAACCTCTAGAACACATGATAATAAAATGTTCCTGGAGGTCTTATTTCTGAAAATTAATTTTACGCAACTTATATGTTTATCTTTAAACATTTTCTAAACTTATTTATGAAAAAAAAGTAACAAAAAAAAATAATTTGATTTTTTGGAAATTCGACCAAAAAAGGGTCCCTTTCAGGAGAATCACCCATATAATGCCTAAGTAAAATTAAGAAACTCGAAAGCAAGGACCAAAAGTGGACTACCCTCTTAAAAAAAGGTAAAGTGCAATAATGTTTTTACTCACATGATTGAACAAGAAATGCAGCACAACAGATGGACTTTGTTAGTAGAAATAATTGCAAATAGAAAGATGATAAATTTATACTAACCAGAACTTCTTCTCGATTTTGAGACATCTTCCATGCTATAAGAGGATCTGAATCGTACTTCTTGCGCACAAGTTCAGCAATCATGTCCTTTTTCTTCTTGTTTTCTACAACCAAACTGCCATCGCATTTCTCAAGAATAAATCTACATTGATTAGAGATTTTCGTCGCTTCAGCTTTTAAAGCACCTTCCAAGTACTCTTTTCTTTTGTGGTATAAGTCCATTCTGACTTTATAAAAACTATGTATGAACTGAAGAGCATTATCATACTTCTGTAGACACTGATTTTCATCAAAGGCACACTAAAAGGATACGTTTTTTTATTCTGAATTATTTTACAAAATTCAATAAGGTTGAAATAGAAAATTTTTATGTAAACTCACCATTGATGTAATTGACGTAGTACTTTGTATTTTAAATGCTTTATGAAGACCGTCTCTTTCAAATTCCTGTAATTTCTCACGGCTCATTGTCACAATAAAGAGAATAGTGTCATCGGAGTTATATTCTTTGTAATCTCTGAAGAAAGAAAAAACATTTTAAATTTGTAAGTAAAATTTGAGTTTCTTATGACAATAAATTGCAAAGAAACTCGTACAGTAATTACAAAAAATTTACATTTTTAACAACATTTTTTTCTAGTTTTCTCTTCTTTACTATTTTTATAATATTCGAGATAGCCTTCGATAGTGAATTGTAATAATTGTAAATTATATAAATTGTAACGGAGTGTTTCAGATCAGAATTGAGTGAATAGTAAGACAATAAATTAATCACCATATTTAAACGTAATTACTTGGATTCACCCAACATTACCCCCTCCCTTTTCTTAAATTATAACTCATAATTAAAGAGTGATTTAATTAATTAATGAAAATTTCATAACAGAATATAAATATGTAGAGTTTTAATAAAATCCCTAAGTACCAAGTATAAACTGAATCCGACAGATTTTAAAAAATACGTTATGTCTTTAAATTTCATCGGAATCAAAAATGTATGCCGCGAAGGATTAAAAAACCTTTTATTCGAGTAATTACCAAACTGTCCCCTCAACGTTTTCATTTTTTAAACCATTTCTTGTTATAACCTTTTTAATAATAAATAAGGAAAAACTTAAGAAACTTACGTAATAACTGGTGGTGACTTTTCAGAACCATGTAGCATAGGTTCCAAGACGGTTTCCTTGTACACTTGTGTCCACATTCCAATAGGTAATTCGGTTATTTCAATTTTATCTGGTCCAATAATCGAGACGCAACCACTAATTACGTATCGGAATTCACCGCAGGACTCAATACTTCCAAGATAGTTTTTATAGTAAGGATTCTATTAACAAAGTGAAATAAAGTGAACATATATATTTAAAATTTAATAGTTACTATGAAAGAAAAATAATTACCATTGGCATTGGTTCATCACCATTCATCATTCTGCGCAGATTATTAATAATTTCACGTGGATTATAGTTAGGAATTTTAGTCATCCAACCTGTCCCAATACCATCAGCACCATTAACGAGTATCATTGGTAGAATAGGTACATAATAGACAGGTTCAATTTTTCTATTATCGTCATACTCGTATCTGAGAAGTGCATCGTCATCTTTATGAAAGATGAAACGGGCCAAAGGACTGAAAGGGAATAGAACATTTAATATTTATTACTAGAAGAACTGAGCGGAGAAAGCGTTGCATATTCGTATTCTGTATTAGTTAAGTTTTCCTCCCGAGTTGCACATATTTTTTCTAACACAAGTATGCCGAAAGTACAAACGCGGCAGTGTGGTTATTACTGATAGCGAATCTTACGAATCACCATTGTTGCGAATTGCCCTTGTCCTAAGCCAAGTCACTTTTGCGAAATATCATTTTTACGAATCCTTATTGCTACGAATTGTCACTTTTGCAACAATAATGGTTGTCAAAAATGAGAATTCGCATAAATGACTTTTCGTTAAAGTAAAAAATCATAAAAATGACAATTTAAAAAAGTGAAAATACTGTTCGATTAATTGATGTTTCATAAAAATAACAGTTCGGACAAGTGTCATTTCAAAAATATACATGCGCCTCATTCGTCACTCATTCCGAGTTTTTTTGAGACATTTCAGTTTTCTGTAGGTGAATGTCCGCTTTCGCTTTTGTAAACATAACCTCAAACTCAGCGAATTTCGCACTCCGGATAGGGTCTCGATTACTTACAATTAGACGGTCAGACCATTATATTTCGAATAAAGTAATTGTGACCTAATTTTTGAAAAACTTGATTTTATTTTTTAATAATTAAACTAGTGAAAAATTAACCTTTAAACTGCTACGTGCTGAAAAATCACGCTCAGTGCTACCCCCGGTTTGTCAGACCGCTATTCCCTTTTTTACGGTTTTTTAGTAATTTATAATTTTCTAAAGACAACTATTGTAAATATTTTTTACTTTTTAACATAAAAAAGTCATTTTTATATTATTTTGATTCAATTTTTTTTATTTTTACATATGTTACAATACAAAATTTAACGATTTTAAAAAAAAATTTTTGAAAAAGTTGTCAACTAACAGATTTTCATAAAATATGAAGCTACTGAAAAGCTCAAGTTCTTATTATACTTTGAAAAAAAGTTAAAAGCAAAGAAAATTTTTGTAGCGGTCTGTCAGACCGGCATAGCAGTTTAAATGTTAAAATAAAAAATATATGTTTTTAAAGTAGGTCCGTCAAAGAACCTAATTTTGACGTTTCTATCAATTCTAATTACAAGAAGGTGAAATTATTAAATTAAATTGTCACTTTCTTAATTTTTTCTTTAAATTTACAAGAAATATTGAGATAACATTGGAGTGCATTAAAACAAAAAAAAAAATAACAGTTTTTTGTGCAAGATGCAAAATAACGGTTTTGTAATAATTTATTTATTAAGTTTTGATCAACTCCTGTTACTTAGAATTTTTTATGATTTTCACTTGATAAATAAAACTCTTGTTAATTTGAATTATTCTGCCTTTCAGAATTATTAGATTATTAGATTATTATCAGATTATTTTCACTTGATAAATAAAACTCTTGTTAATTTGAATTATTCTGCCTTTCACTCGACAATTAAAACTTTCGATAAATAAAACTCTGAGCAAAGTTGCGTTTTTTGCATGTAAAGTGGGAGTTTATATAAATATAAACATAATTAAAAATTGACAAATTACAAGAAAACTGTTGTTGTTATTTAACAGTTGAACAATATTCTTGCAATACTTTTTCATTGATCTCTATTATTTAGCGTACAGTGTGGATAGATTCTTAACTTTTGTTAAGTCTTTGAAATTGAATACGAAAAATGTAGACTTTACCTGAGCTTGGTGAAAATATATCTCGGACTGGCTGCATCTTTTCCACCTACGAGCCTCGTGCCGAATTGACCTCGAGGTTGCAGCAGGTTAATGTTGTTAGTGCCAACAAAGTCTTGAGCCAAGTTTATAATGGTCGCCATTAGCGATGCTTCACCATGATGATAAGCTGATCTTTCAGCAACAGATGCACCTAATTGAGCAACTTTCACTTCTTTCTTGTCATTCCGTTGAAAGCAGGTAAACATAACTTTCCTTTGGCCAGGCTTCAATCCATCTATCATGTTTGGTATCGACCTCACATTATCGTAGTTGCTGAACAAAACCAGTTCAACATTAATAAAGTCGGAGAATGATACAGCGCGTGTGTCCTTCTGGTATAAATATCTTTCGTTTAGACCCGTTTCCTTTCTTCTCTTTGTTTCCTCCATGTGATTTGTCAACCAATCTTTTCGTAGATCTACGCACTTCTTACTGAAAGCCATAATAATATTATTATCGTCTTGATCTCCCTCGTACTTAAATTTGATGCGATGCTTGATCATATCGTTGAAGTACTCTTTTGCTTCAGATTTATCAGAAGTACCCAAACCTGTTTAACAAAATGCATTGCATTATTGGAACGATCTGCAAAATAAGAAAGTATAGTAGAACCTCGATTCGATTATCCGAGGTAATGTGGGAAAGAGGTGCCTTGGATAATCAAAAAGTGCTCGATGCCTCGGATAACCGAGGTTCTACTGCATAGTTATCAAAGAATAAAACCTTTGTAGTATTTGATGCTGTAGGTGTGGTAATTTTCAGTTTCTTTCTTCCAAATTTCAAATTCTGGCAAAGAATAAAATGATTTTACAACATTTCCTTTCCTTGCTTTTACGATTGGAGTTATAAACTCCTCCACGAAATTGAGCTTCAATAAGGATGGCCAATTATGATGAATAAAATTTATTAGAAGTCCTTTAATGTGGGAACCGTCCTAAAAATATTTTTCTTTTTAGTTTAAATGTTAAAAGGATCAAGATATTTTACATAAATAAATAATAACCTGATCTTGATCTGTCATAATCATCAGTTTTCCATAACGAAGAGTTTTCATGTCATCCCTCGACTCATACTTTTTCTTGTACTGTAAGCCAAGAATTTTAATCAAGTTGTTGATTTCGGCGTTCTCGAGAATCTGCTTGTGCGTTGCTTCTCTGACGTTCAAAATTTTACCTAAACATTAAATAAAAAAAAATATAGAGTAATAAAGTAAAAAATATTAGTTGTAATTTTTGGAAAATACATACACGGAGAGAAAAAAAAGTGAGCCGTTTGATTTGGCAAGAGAGCGCTGTTTTCCCTTTATAAAGCGCAGCAGTTGCGCCGCAAACGTCGAACGGTTATACTTTTTGGGGAGTATCGGTTCTCTTCTCCACACAAATAGAGCCGCTTACTTTCCAAAAAGTGTACCCGCTTTTCCCAAAAAGGAGAACCGTTCTCCCCTCGAGAGTAAGCAGCGTGCTTAACCTCAAGTTGAACGGCTGTTTCGCATTTAACGCAACCGCTCTACCGACAGGTAGAGCAGCTTACTTTTTTTTCTCTCCGTGTACATTTTTGGAAATTTATATACAAAAAAGTGCCAATTTCCGGAAAAACTACTCTTTAATTATATTTTCTATGCATTTATTTTAAGTTATTTTTTTTATTTTTGAATTTTATCCTATCCTAATGGAAACAATTTCTTTTTTCTTATGTTAACGGCTAATTTATTAGGATTTAGCTTATTTGAATTGCAGATGAAATATTAAAAGAAAATATATAACAAAATTTTAAAAAGTGCAGTAAACCTGTATATTAAATCCCATTATTTAGGGGAGATTTTTTCTATTGAGCGTAAGAAATACGAGCAGAAAGTTAATGCAAGGTAACCAACCTTTTAATGGAAAGATACCAAATTTGTCACGACCAACAGCAGAAAGTCCAGCAACAGCCATACTTTTAGCTGAGTCTCCTTCGGTCAAAATTAAAGTACAATCCATAGATCTACCAGTGCCTGCGTCATTAGCATCTTCCAATTTTGGTATTCCTGAAAATATTTAGAATTATTATAATTTCTGTCCAAGAGCTATCGAATTTGTTTGGTATTTAGAGCGAACCAAACAGCTATAAGGCGTCTCGCTTTTATTTTAACACCTAATCCGAAAAATTTCTAGAAAATATCTTCCCGTGGAAAGTTAAAAACAATAAAAATATGGTCTTAAAATACAAAACCTGATGGTAAAATAGAAATATGGTAAAATAAAAAAGCATTTTTAGTTCTTTTAGCGTACTGTGCGCACAACACAAAAGATATATTTAGTCGTTACTGAACTATCAAAAAACTACATCGCAGCAACAAAAAATGTGAAGGTTTAACGCACTTTATGATTTTTATGAACCAGTTGATTTATATTACATATACAATATTGTACGAAATTTTATGAAAATATTCTGGTTTTTTTTATAACAATAAGACAATCAAAAAAGAATTTTTTCAAATTACCTTGAAGCTTCCTTTGTTTCGATTTGGGACCTAATTTTTGCAGTTGAACATCTGCTTTGAATTTTGCCCAAGAGAGGACAGATTCAACAATCCCTATTTTCGTGACCTGAAATATGAAAACTATGGTTATAAAATGTATATTTAAATGAAGTTACAGTGAAGCATGAATTGATAAAATCGATAATTTACACTAGTTATAAATTTTTCACTGAGTGAGCATTTGGAGCCAAAACTCTTAGCCTGAAGAGTCATATTCTCTTTAGTCTGCGAATCAAAAGTTGGATTATTGATAAGACAGTTGACAAAAATCCACATGTGATTTTTAATTTGGAACGGTTTTATGGCTATGCCTCCTTTATTTTTCTTCTTCAATGTTTCTGTCAGTTGTTTCACAATTAGATCAGTTACATGATCAACATGTCGACCACCCTAAAATCGAGAACGTTAATTGAGAAATGCTGAATATACACAAAGAGTTGAATTAAATTCACTTTATACCTTTGTTGTAGCGATACTATTGACGAAGGACATTTGTTGAAAACCTTTATCAGACAATGTCATTGCAACTTCCCAACGTTCATTACATTTCTCATAGCAAATTTTTAAAGCATTGCCCGCATCATCTTCTTTGCCTTTAACATAAAGGTCTACGTAATCTTTGAATCCCTTAACAGGGACTTTGTAGCCATTGAGATAAACTTTCACGTTATGGCCAGAAGAGGCAGCCACGTCAAATGCTCGCCGAGACATAAGCGAAACGATATCATCGTCCAGCGATTGCATTTTAAACTTGGATAAATCAGGCGAAAAGGTCACCTTCGTGAAATCTTCTCCAGCGAATTCTTTGACTTTAGGCTCACTGGCTTTTCCCATGTTATTTCCCCATGTCTGTGAAAAAAGTTTACTTCTCATTAATAAAACACCAAAAATTTTCCTAGTAAAGTATCAAGAGAAAATGAAAACTTTTTTATCACCTGCTTGAGTGATCTTTTATATTCTTTACAAGCAGTTTCTACAGTAAATCGATGACTAAAAATATTACATAATTTCGCTCCATATCCATTTCTACCACCTGTCACTTTTTCTTCTTCGTCATCGTAATTAGAAGATGTCAACAAATGGCCAAAAATCATTGTTGGCACGTACATATTTTCATCTTTGTGAACAACAACTGGAATACCTTTGCCATTATTCCACACAGATATGGTGTTGTTTTCGCTGAAAATTTAATTTAATTAACATTCATATTCTAGAAATTCAGAGTAAGATAATAATATTAGATACACTTACGAGTCAATGTCTATTTTAATCTGATCCATTTTTGGATCACGCTGCTTATTATCAGCGGCGTTTACGAGAATTTCATCAAAAATTTTATAGAGACCAGGAACATACTTTATTTCCTTCTGCACCATCATTTCTTTTTCTTTGTCGTACACCCACATATTTTCCGTAACGAATTCAACGGAACCAATGTAAGTGTCAGGACGCAGTAAAATATGCTCCAACTGTGACTTCTTTTGGTAAATACCTTCGATGGTTTTCTTCTTTGAAGTCCCATCTCCGCCTCCATTTTCAACTGTTGAACTCATTTTTCAAAAAGGTTTTCTGAAATCCACAGAAACAATTTGGATATTTCAAACAAACTAATTCGTCAAAGAAACTTAAATATAATTTTTTACATATTGCAGTGAATTTTCAAATTACTTTAAAAAAAACTATCGAGATAAAATAATTCCACAGAAATATTATTCGAATTTAAAATTCAGTGATACTTTTTTAATTTGCGTAACATTTTAATATTAAAAAATTTCTTCGAAATTCTTGCTTCTCTTTTTAGAGACAAAAAAATTCTTATATACTTTAATAATAAGTAATCCTATATTTATAATAATTTATATATAAATAATTTAATTTAATTTATATATAAATTAAAAAATGAGTGTCTTGTTTGTCGGTAATAACTTTATTCCACTAAGTGGTACTGTAGTCCCCATAGTAAACTTTTTACCGTGTACGTTACTGCAATGTTTTTATGCTTATGTCAATTCGGGGTCCACTGGACCCCGCTTGCCCGTTCGTGCCGGTAAAAAGTTTAAACACCCATGTGGCATCATGTACAATTGGAATATGAAAACTGTAAAAGTATTTGGATGTATTTTTAGTCTATTTAACAGAATTTCTAGGATAAACTCATTCTTTCATACGGATTCGGAGAAATTTGAAAAAGAGATACTCGCGGGGTCCAATGGACCCCGCTTGCCCGCCCAAGGGTTAAAACAGATTGAAGTTAACAAATAGTTGACTTTGGTTCCTGTTCATCAAAAAAATTTGTTCTTCGATATTTATATTTTACTTTACACGGAGAGAACCAAATTTGTAAAAATTACTAAAAATGGTTGCAGTGACCGGAAATAAGGGGACTTTTAGCATAATGTACTACAGAATTAGATAAATTTACAAAAGAAATAGATAAATTTGCTACATTGAAATAGCAAGTTTTAATATTCTGTGTAAGAGTTGTAAATGTAGCGAAAATTGATTATAGTTTTCTCTAATTTAATTAGACAAAATCTGACAAATGAAAACATTTTCCACTAAAACCTACGATCCACTGTAGTAATTTTTGGTGAGCAAGTGTTGCTAGCGAGTGCAATCATATGGCGCCTGCATTTCTATTGGTTGACAACTTCGTCAATCTCCGTAAATGAGCCGATGCCATCCGATCATTGACAGTGACTATGTTTCGCGTATGTAAAATAAATTTGGATATTATCTACAATAATTAAATATAAAGTGAAACGTAGGTCGTTCGTTATCTCAGAAACTGACCATTATAAATTAATAAATTTTGCATTTATTCCTGTCCCAAGAACTATGTCTTATAATAAGTTGTTAAAAGTAAACTGCTTTCTCGTAAGTGCTGTAAATTTTCATCATTCAATATATAAGGAAACAAAGATGTATACTTTCAGTGAAATTCGTTGTCGTGCGTGCAGTTGTGTATTAGTGTATTAATAAACCGCGTCTATACATATAAGTGAAATAAACATGTGTGTGTCTTGGAGTTCGGTTTTGACCGTTCCCAAGTACAGTTCTCAAGCACTAATTTAAGTGAGGATTAACCTCACAATGTGAGTTCTCTAATTTTGACTTATTTGTAATTTTAAAGTGTCTAACTTCAAGTATTCGGAGGAAATGATTCTAAACAGCCTTTTTTTTAACTTAAACTCATATTTGCAATAGTATAAACATTTAATTCACATTTTTACCTCCCAACACGTGTTCATCAACCGCCATAGATTTATATAGTTTACCGAATCGCGTTTGACGCCATTTTTTTTCACATTAACCAATTTCATGGAAACTTTTAATTCTTAACTCTTATTCTTCTAAGTGTTTGTTCTGACAGTTGGCAAAGCCTAAAGTCATTTAAGAAGAAGAAGAAGAAGAAGAAGAATGTGTGTGTCTTCAAATATTTATCCAACAAATATATAAGTGTGTGAGTGTGTGTGTCTGTGTATGTAAAAATCCTTCCAGTTTACCTCCATTAGTCAAGAATTGACGGAAAACCGGCGATAAAAATCCGTATTTTTTCTTTCACTCTTTCTTTCTGCATTTAGAAACGACTATAGTAATTTTATGTACACAATACTTCTGAGTTTACTATGTACAGTTGTTTGGAACTATTGGACGAAATAGTAAGAAACTTTGCTAATTTGGTGAACATTTATCGGATTAGTGACTTAGTGTAGAAAATAGTAAAAAATACAAAAAGTCGAAAGAAAATAAAATTTCAATTCTTTGACAACTTTTTTCTAAACTCAATATTTTCAGACTAATGGGCAAATCTACAGAACTGGGCGATTTTCACTTGTGAAAATGTAAATTTTCAAATTGTATATTCAGAATTTTTTGATGAATTCTAAAAATTAATTGTTTTAAGTACTTCTAGTATATGTATAATGTTGTATTTAGTGTGGAGTGTATGCGATAAATGTGTAAACAATTTAAGGTAATTGGCGACATGTTCTCCTGTAATAAACAATTTTTTTTAATAAATGTCATCGTTTGATGACGTAATTGCCCATGGTTGGCCCGGCTAACTTTACTGAAGTTGGGCCGACCATGGTTATTAAAGGGAACCCAACCATTCGTTCTTAAGGCCGGCAAAACTTTGGCATCCATAGAAGGCCAACTTAGTTAGCCAACGGTCGGGCCATCCTGTGGATTGATCACGTCGGCCGACCAATGGCTGACACAGTTGGGCCGACCATTCCTGCCACGGTCGGTAAAACTTCGGCATCCAAAGACGGCCCAACTTTGGTGCCAACAGTTGCTCCAACTGTATCAACCACTGGTCGGCCGACGTGATCAATCCACAGGGTGGCCCGACCATTGGCTAACCAAGTTGGGCCGACCGACAATTCGCACCTGGGCATGCCCAAAAATGGCGCTTTTAGATAGCTGACGACCGCATGAAAATGGTGGCCGTTTTATCCCATGGGCAACAATAACTCCCTGTCGTCTGTTATCTGAAATCTGATTATTTATTTTTCTTGCTGTGAGCATTCAGAAACAAAAACTGAATTCGTTTCTATTGATTTTTTATATTTATCTATTGAGAAATATTAAAAATCCTCGTTTTATAGAATATTCCTGGAAATTTAGTCTATTTCTAATCCTTGCTTTTTAACGGGTCTACCACGGATCTACAATGTATGCGGTTCCGAGTTCGACATCCGCAAAAGTTAAATATTTTCCTCTTCGGTTAACTTTTAAAACACATGCGATAGTTATATTTTCAAAAAATGAAAAGATGTTTCCTTTTTATTTAAATTTTATTTTTTTATAATGTTATAACCTTAAATTGGCTCTAATTAGGTAACCAAGTGAAGACCAGTTTAGGATTGCATCATGAATCATTACACTGAAAGAAAATCACTAGTATTAATCGATATCTCCATATGTGACGCGTTCCTAAGAAAGGTATCTAAGCAGGAAACGAATTAAGAGTTATGTTCATGTTAAATTTACCTTGATTAAAAGCTCTTTTTTAATATGTGAATTTGAAATTAGTTTTTATTTAATAATATTTTGAATGTAGTGAAGACTTTAACATCAATAATTTGTAATAGAATTGATTCACTTTTTTGGATTTTTACTCCAAGAATTATAAAAATAACCTAAAATTTTTTGCTTCTTAGGTACCTTTCTTGATCGCGGGTCGCATATGAACATTTAAAATAAAACCTAACGAATTAGAAAAAAGTGTAAGTTTTTAAATTATTATTTGAGTATGGGAATACACTACCGTCCAAAAGTATCAGGACGATTACATTCGACTCTATGAAAAAACATGCCATCACTTTTTCAATCATATCTCGGAAATAAAAGGAGGTACAAAAAAACTTAAATACGGTTAGAAAGCTGCACGGAAAAAAAAAGTTCCCAGATATTTCAGGAATTATTTCCTAAGTCTTGGATACGTGGTAACAGCTCTGAACTAGCGACGAACATTCAATGGTAATCAATGAATGTTTGAAAGAAATTCGGGAACTGTATTAGAAAAAGCTATAAATAGTCCATTAGTCTCTTTTTCATTACTTTCTCATGTAAAGTTCATGGCACTGGCCGCAACTGTTTCTGAAATTTTCGGGAACTCGTCAAGGAATCTTGGTGCGCAGAAACTGTGCGCACCAGTCTCAACAAGACTCACCGTCAGTAAGACTTGCGTGCCTTATATATTTATTTTATGCTGAGGTATTTAACTCGCCTGTTTAGCTCAGCTGGATAAGACGCCGGACTTCTATTCTCGGGTACGCGAGTTCTGTTCCAGCCGCCGTCGATTTTTCTCTAATATGGTTTTTTCTATTTCAGAAACTTAATAAAAAATAAAAATTGTATGTGACCTTCAAGGATAAATGTGTGTGTGTGCACGTGTCAAGGAGGGGAAGTGGGAGGGGGGAAGCAGAATCCATTTTTTCTTGCATTCGCCTAACTTTTCGACTTTCTTGAACAGTTCCCGACTTTTTCAAGAACAGTTTGCCGAGAAGTGGTGAAATACACTGGAACTCCCAAGAGAGTCCATCGCAGAGTCTTATGTGACTCTCTTGGAGAGTGACCTTGACCTTTTGAAAATGAAAACATTAAGGGCCGTAGGGTGTGTGAAAACAATATTTGTACGTCCACATAAAAAGGGCCCATTTACTCTATTTATATAAATGGATATAAATTTTTATATTTTTTACAACTTTATATTATAAATTAAACAAATTTTATCAATATGAGCAGAATTGTATAATGTTTATATATAATTTAAAACTTGAAGAACAATATTTTTTAAGAAAACGTGTTAAATTCCACATATTTAGGATCAGAGAGTAAAAACAGAATTTTATTATTATTATTTAAATTAATTATGGGTCAGAATTCGTGAAATTTTCACAGAAAATAAAAAGTATTTTTTTTAAATCGAAATGTTGAAAAAACATTTCTATTTGGCCTTAAGAATGTGTCCACCAAAAAACAGAAAAAAATTCTTTTTTATAAAAGTTATTGCAAAATTAATTTTTTTGCAACTTTTTAACAAAATTTGATTTCTCCTA